TTTCCTGTCCACCTTTATTCCGACAATCGATCTGCTATTGCGCTCGCCAAGGACAACACATACCACTCTCGCACGAAGCATATCGACATTCGTTTCCATTTCATTCGCGAGGCCGTTGACAACCATGACGTCATTCTGGAACACCGCCGCACAGAGGACATGCCTGCCGACCTGTTCACGAAAGCTTTACCCCGCGCAAAGCTCCAGCACCTCTCTGAGTTGTTCGGTCTGCGTCCGCTTTGAGGGGGCGTGTTGTATTTCCCGGCACCGGTCAAAGCGCACGCGCCCTCCTGACGTCGGTATTTCCCTTTTTGTACTTATTTGTGGTTCCTGTACCTTTTTTGATCGTTGCGACACACGTCCGATAGTACCTTACGACATTGCTCATATACGCGAGACCTCCCGTCCATCCACCTCACCGTTCGTACCCCGAACGCTGAGGTGAGCCCATTCTCCGTACTATACCGCACGTCCTATTCACTTACATTACGTAGCAATTACATTCGTTTATATTACAGGTCTGCTACGATATTCCACTTACACCGTTCGTACCCCGAACGCTGAGCAATTACATTCGTTTATATTACAGCTCGCCGGGCGGCTCGAAACCTTATAATGAATCCTCGTCATCAGGATCATCGTCACCCTCACTTGAGCCCTTATCGGGTACTGCGGAGACATGGTCAATTGTAGAAACATCATCCTCGTCCTCCTCGTCTGATGCGGAGGTACCAGGGATCTCGCGGAAGAGAAGCTCCTGCCGGATCATACATTTCAAACCTTGCGGTGCTTCGACAATGTCACCTTTTAGCCGGTTCCGTCGCTTGCTAATCGTGATCCCTGCCGAGGAGAAGGCTCGCTCACTTGAGACAGAGGACGCCATGATGGAGAGGTAGTCACGGGCAAGAGATGCCCAGACAGGATGGCGAGTTGCATTGACCTACGGAGAATATATAAGTGCTGTTCATAGACATCAAAATACATGAGAGTTTGCTTACACCCCACCATCCGACAATAGTTCGCGACCCGAGCTCTTCAGGAGGAGTCTCGAGATAGACATTGAACCCGGGACGCCACGCCTCACTGTCGACCTCTGGGGTTGTTGACAACGCCATAGATGCAGGGTCTAGTGAGCCATCATGGCCATGTTCATCGTCCGAAAGTTCTCCGAAGAGCCGCTGTAGCCTGGTTGCACGAGTGGCGGAACCTGCGGTCACTGTCTTCTTGACGAAGCTTTGGTTTGCGCTAGATTCGGATGAGTACATCTCGTTATACCGCTCCCTGTACTGTAAGATGCAAGCTTAGATCAAATTAAAACTGAGTGAACGGAACAAATACAATGTCTTCAGCACGTCGCATAACAGTCTTGTACAGCTCATCGTCCCAGTGCTTCCTGAGATATATGTTCTTCTGTGAAGGGTCAAGTACTGAGTAATATGGATAAACAGATACGTTAGTGCACAATCAAAGGCTTTGTCCGTTGTCACTTGATCTCGGTGAGATTTGACTAAATTTACGACGAATCGATAGACAACTTACACATAGCCATAGTATATATGTCAGAGACGTCAGTCTTCGAGTAGTAGTTGGAGATCGTTGCAAGCCCAGCTTCAAGAGCCTCCTTGAACGGTGCATACTGTGTCCGGGCAATGCAGCGTGTCCATGCCGTGTGGAGCGCTTCGAGCGCAGGGAGCGCATGGTGGAGTGTTGGTGCTTGATCGGATGAAAATGATTGCTGTGCGTCATCTGCATACTAACAAGATGACGATATCAGTATCTCAATGACATGTGAACCTCACTTGAACGACTGTACATACTTGGAGAAGCTGCGTCAGACTTCGTACACGACTCCATTCCTCGTCTGAAAGCTCCATCTGCAGGAGCCGCTGGCGCTTTTCGTGGTCATTTTCGGCGCCGCCAATTGCGAGAACAAACTTGTTAACATGCTACAGTATACGATTAATCTACATACAGATCAGTCAGATTCCCCATAATGCTCACCGGTTGTAACAAGGATGTTCGCTTGAGCATCTAGTAGGTCGACGACCAACGGGTCGGACTGTCGAGAAGAAGCTGTAGTGGGCGTGTGATATTCTTCTTGCGCTGGATGCGAAGAAACACCTCCTTGCGCTTCGATGAAGATTTCGCCTGAGAAACCAGAAGTGAGCAACAAGTGTTGTGCCGCAAAACATTGCTGACAGCTATACCTTGACAGATAGAGCACGGACTAGGCCAACTTCATCGCGTCGCCTAACAGAGTGCTGCACATGAAGCTCGTGGTCAGGTGAAGCGGGATCGTAATATTTTGATTTGCTATGCTTTGCAAGAAGAGCCTGTGTTACGAGGTTAATGATATGCTCAAGGCACCTGCAAATCGCCACTGTTGAGCTAACATATGCAAGATCATACATGCACAATCCTCACCGAACACGACGCTCGACTGGGTCGTAATCTTTGCCGGTCTTCTCAGTGTTGTGCGTTCCGAACTGCTGCATCATAGTGCCGTTGTTTGTTGCATTATCACATGTCACATACCCGACCTACATACACAACATAACTCACTCACACGACATAGCCAGTAGAATACATGTAGCGTACCTTATGCTCGATGCCTACTCGGGTGATCACCTTGAAGAGCGCCTGACCAAGACGAGCACCATTGTGCGCATTGTTCATTTGAACAAAGCCAAGGAGTGCGTTCTGAAGCTTCCAGGTACCTGCCTCCGTCTCCTCAATCCAGTGGCCTGTGACAGCAAAATAGCCGTCTGAGTTTGATGCCTGCCATGCGTCACATGTGAGGTTGACGCGACCCGAGACAGCGTCACTCTGAAAGTAAAGTAAGTAGATATAGAGGGGAGGGCTTAGAAACGTACATTGAGACACTTGCGGAGCTTCGTAAGGTTATCTTTGAATAACGCGATAATCGCCTGGCGGGTTTGTTTGCGCTTCGGGATTGTGACGCCATTAGTTGCTCGCGCGGCAATAGCAATCATGTTCTTGAACGCAGGGTGTTCCATCGCATGGATGGGCTGAAACCAGGGAGTCAGTCTCAAGCAAGTGGTAGTACTAAGAGTCGATGATGCGGATGACACAGACGGGCATACTCAAGACATTGATCTCTGTACTAGTCAAGTGAACAACGCAAACGTACCTGATCAGTTGCAATCAGCCACTCAATGGCGGCTTGCCGGAATAGGGTGTCCGTATACTTGACCATGTTCTCTTCGGCCAACCGCTCCTTGACATGGGAGTCAAGACGCGACTGATTTGCTGGTGCCTGGCCGGTGCGTCGTGCCTTGCTGTCTTTCGGAAGCATTGATTCGAAATTGTTCTTTTCCGCCCATGCTTGATAGGTACCCTGTCAGACAACCAAAATCAAGCAGTTACTGTACATGAGAGACTGAGAGTGAGACCGGAACATACCGCATGTGATGCTTCCAAGTGACGCCGTGCGGTCGACACATCAGCGACAAGACGAGCCTTAATTCCTTTTTTCCTACATCATATGAATCAATTAGCAAAACAAGTAAGATCAGTATGCGATTGTGAACCAAGAGTACTCACTTGCACAAAAGGCAGTCGCGATAGCGCTTGGTGCCCTGAAAGTAAACATCAGAGCAGAAATGCGCGATATCACGCATCTTGTCTTCACGCCGGGCCTGCGAGGACTCATCGACATCCAACATCTCGATGTCTGCCAGGAGTCCAGACGTGTCAAGGTCTTGAGGGTTGCCGATGTCCAAGGGGGAGGTGGAACGAACAGAGCGACCGCTTGATTGCGCGGTATCCTTCTCCTTCCCTAGATAGAGCATTGGAGTCAGTCATAGGTCCACATACGTTGATGAGACGATAGCAATGAACAGATACATACCCTTCAAGGGCAATGGGTGCCTTGTACGTACAACAACACCCTCCTCGTCCTCTACTTCAGTGACGGATGGCGTTGGCATGTGTTTCTTTGCCGGGCCGCCTGCTGCTTCCGGATTAGTATCGACAACTGCAAGCAAAAGAGATATCAGTATACACGATGTACAGTCCGACACCAGATCACCCCGTTGTCGCATCAAAGCAGGATCCAGCAACACAGTGAGATAACTACTCACCATTACAGCCTCTGCCGGACACCGGGATTCCAGCAGCTGGATCTCCTGAAAATGCAGTCTCTGCACTGCGCTTGGTGCCCGCTCTGGATGCTGTGGGGGAGTCGCGGTTCTGAGGGCATGGGATTGACTGAGATGAAGGGACAGAGGGAGGGACAGAGGGAGCGGTGGGGGTAGACGGCAAGCCATCCTTGGCTGTGCGTCGAGCGGCTTCCCTGTGGGAGAAAACCTCGTGTTCGGCGGCATTGGAAGCGTCAACGAGCTTCTTCGAGGGGACGAGCTTCCGCTTTGGGCGTGTGTCGGACACTTCCATCGTGCTTGTGGCCAAATTAGGACCAAGGTTATGTCAAGTAAGAACTCTATTCCGGCGTCGAGTGCTACTGTACAGTTTATGCGAGCCCCGATCTCAGCCACTCGGCGAGCTCCTCCCCCTCTCTCGTACAGCCACAAAGCCCGGGCTTGAGGGCTGGGCTTGGGCTTTCAGAAATCGAAGCCGGGCCCTCAAGCCCTCAAAGCCCTGTAACGGGTCGGGCCGGGTTGGGCTATTTAGGGCCGGGTACCCGGGGCTTCAGGGCTTGGAGCCCGGCCTTGCACAACACTACCCGCGATAGGATATCCATCGCTATCTGGGAAATAGCGGTGAAGTGAATTTGCAGAGCATCTCATAGGTGAGCAGTTCTCCGAGTCGAGAGTCTTAGAGGATAGCGCAAAGACACGTACATGCCTGTGAGTTGTGATAGTGCTGAGTTATTCCAAGAGTTCTGGGGCGATGTAGCACTGCCCAATATTCGGATTGTTTTCCCTTCTCTCTCTCAGTCTAGACTTCAACGGCGTGGAAGATGACATGCAGTGTCAGCATGCTATGTACCACTGCACGTGAGTAAGCTCCGCCCCTAACGCTACGACAAAGTACACCACGTCGAGAACCTTTGCATGATATAGCTATGTTAGGGTTGTAGTATAATGTAGGCCGCCTGGCGTAAGGGCAACACATCTGACTACGAGCAGACCTTGAGACTTCGATACGTCAGATATTCTGCACGCTGATACAGCTTGGACGAGGTCATCGAGGAAGGAGGGCAGACGTACTTATACATGATGGTGGTAGAGAGAATCGTTACTTAGCGGCCGTTCCGGAGGGGTCAATGTGGCGGTGCTGCGGAAGGTTTGATTCGCGCTTGTGAGGCGCTTGTGAGGCCCCTTTCGAAGGGCCACCCCCTGCCAGTCTTGCGATGTAGAGTCGTGGGTCGCCGTGCATTTGATTTGCTACTCTGCCCACATAGGATGACTTGCACGACTATATGAAGCGAATATCTGCTGTGCTCGTCATCTCAACCTTCTCTTTGAGTCCAACCTCTCGGGCAACTTCATTGTCATGCTCAAATCGCGGCCATTCCACTATTGCGTAGAACCAATACTTTCCAGGATGCACCGGTGTTTACAGATAGATGATACATTTAGGCTCACCTTCAACGAGCATGAGGATCTGACCTACGACCTAGTCATTCCCGACTTGCTACGCTCACGCAGTCTCAGTACCATCTGCGCCCTCGCGGCTCTTGCTCAGACTTGTAGAGCATTCAATGAACCTGCTCTGGACATCCTCTGGCGCCATATTCCTGATTCTTTCTTCCTGATCAGCCGGATTCTCCCAAAAAGAAGTCATTTCATCGTTCGCGGTGAATATGAAGAAAACGCTACTCTAGTATGTTAGAATATGATGCCATGCGCTTTAGGCGCTGACATTCGGATTCGCTCGATGTGCAATATGTCTCTCTATCCACTACATTCACCATCTCTATCCCCTCGTGCGCAAGCAACCTGCCTCTAGGGTTTTCAGAATGTAGCATGGTAGTGTACTGTTGGAATCTGTAGGATTCACACTCTAGTATCGGTTGGATGGTGTAGTGGTAACACCTCCCAGCGCATATGGGATGACCCGGGTTCAATCCCCGGTCTGACCAACTTTTCATTGTTCAACAGGTTATGAGCCCTGTGTGACGCTTCGAAGGGAGCAGGGTCAGAGAACCCCTGCCTCGGGAAATGTGCCTGAGGGTAACTTCATTTGGAAAAGTTGGTTCCTTGATTGATCACCAGAGTGTGACTTCAGGGGGAGTGTTGGAATCTGTAGAATTCACACTCTAGTATCGGTTGGATGGTGTAGTGGTAACACCT